GGGCCAATTAGTTCCTTCAGACAAATTCATTTTTTTATTTGATCGAGGGAATCGGCTTCAGCAGCGACCACGGCAATCTTAGAGGACTCTCTAGGTTAGAGACAGTTGGAAACTTTGCAACACTTCAACAAAACCATATCGAAACATGATATTGAATGTCATCGTTTTAAAGCGTTCATCAATGGATCAGATTAGCTTTCCACTGAGGCATAAAAAATAGTTGGCGATTTGTTTTTAACTAAATGCCGGCAGAATCAGTGGTTTTTCCCAGATGTAAAATGAAGCACTAAGGGCTGTGGTGCGTGGGTTCCATAAAGCAACTCCTATCATGGCTGGTATGCTACTTAGAAAATGGCTGTCTTCAACAGGCGATGCAGAGAATGCATAGATACATTGGCATTTACAGTGTCTCGGCGTCACTTTAAAAACAAACCTCAAATGCCAATGAAAGCAAAATATTAATCGAGTGCACATTCACAGTTGAAACATCGAGGTTTCAGCGGATTTCAGTGGTAATCAGTCAATCAGTTTTTATGAGCATTTATTTTTTTCGGATAGCCGAGGAAGCAGCGTCAAACAGCATCTCCATCTCCTTAAATCTAGTGTCCTAGCTTAAGTAGAGGAAAACACGAATCTGGAATAGAGTCTGTAGAGACACTTGCATCAAGTCGCCCTTCATTGTTCTCTGGTTCTTCGATCGATGACTAGAAGCGAGAAGCTTTTTCGCCGTCTTTCCTGGAGTCGTTTGTAAAACGTGCCCAAACCATCGCATCTGTAACTTGCTGTGTGCTAGTTTGATGTCGTTTGCTGACTTTGCACTCGCATTCGCGGAGGATCATAAACTTTACATTTGACTTGTTCGCATTTGATTCCATGGTTGCTACTGCGCTAGGTCTTCGCATTGTACTCAGTCGTTTACAGTAGACGGAGACAAGAGCACGTGACAAGATCTTCACCCCTATGCTCGTCTAGCCTCATGAGCTATGGTCCATGACTGAAAAACTTTTATCAAGGGTGCAAGCGGCTGAAATGACCCTTCTGAGTCGTATCGGTGACCTCGCGCGTCTTGGCATGGCCCGCAGTACAGATAACGAAGAAATTCTTAGTGGGGAGCCGCTGCTTCTTCAGATTAAGAAGTAACAGCTGCTATGGTTTGGCATGAGTTGCGAATACCTCCAGAAAGTAAGTCGAAGCAACAACTTTTCGCCATTCCGCCCGGCAGAAGGCCCAGGTGCAAATATATGGCAGCTGCCTTCTGTCGTAGCTCAGGCTTTGGCATAGGATTGCGAACGTTGGAAGCGCCGTCTGGCCATCTGTCTTGAAGTACCGAATGGATCATGGAAAGCAAACTGCAGAGCAGAAGTGTGCAAATCGATGTAAATGCTGTTACCTAGTTCAATTTGTTGTTGCTAAGTGATTAAATGAATAGCATTTGTTTTCGATGTATTTTCGCCTACGGGTCCTTGTTTTTGTACATTCATTTTTTCAATCCAATTAAGAAACGCGGCCTTCCGTCTTATGCACTGCAGGCGCATAAATACCATGGAACCGTGACCTGCTTCAATGGCTCCGTAAGCGACTAGTAGCAAAGGGGCGGTGCAATACACAGCTAGTGTAAAGTGAGAAAAACGTGTACCTTTATTTTAATACCAGAATAGCGCTTTTATTTTTTAATCTTCAAATCAAGCTAATTAAATGAATGTGGTTATAAATAACAAATGTCTAACTTGGCTATTTACTTACATACTTAATTATTCACTTAGTTACTTAAAATGTCGGATTGTCCGAATTCTGCACAGTTCACTTTCACAGCTCAACAGTTTTCGAGTTTTTCTTGCCTTATCGAAACGAGTAAAGCTCACTTAGGATTATTCCATTTGGTGAGATGCGCTTTTTTCATAGATGGAGTGATTTATGTCAGAGCTGCAACTGTTCGTGTTATCAGCAACGGCGTCTTTAGACATTTCGTTGATCAGGAAACAGAAAACCTGTCAATGGGGACACGTCACCTGGATATCCATGACGCCTTCCTTCACGGTGGTGGCTCTGAAAAATTCTTGGTGATTTCGGCTATCCAGGGACTCATCTATGCGACGACCCGGGAAACCGCTTTCAGCTAGAAGCTGTCAACAATCGAGGAATAGGCAGGTCATTTCTTTCAACGAACGATGGCACGCATCGATCGCCTACAACCGCCCAAAAGAGAAAGCTGCGTGTCACGGAGGCATAGAAGACGAACGTACATTGGACAGGCCTTCAGCGCAGCCGTCACCTTCGACGCTCGCGCACCATTTCGCTGAAGGTTGTCCATTCGCCTGTTTCATCGTTAATAATGAAGTGAATACCGAAGAGACTATTCACATCTCCGGTCTCATTAAACATCACAACAGCGCTTGAGGAAAGCAAGTTCAATAACACTATAAAGTAACCACTTATGAAGCATTTGCATATAAAGTCGATATAAACATATGCTGTTGTTGGGAATTTCATTTTAATTACGCCTGGACGTTTTATATTGCATTTGTTTTGGTCAAACTGTCAAGAAGCCTTCAGTCGTTGCATCTGCCGGCCTTTACGTACTCTTAAATAAGCATCTTCGCCTGTCACCTAAATCGCTGCGAAAATTAAGCGAGACAATTCTAAAATAGCCTATTTTCTTCGTCCATTTCGAACGGACTCTAGAGACTTTTCTGTGAAGCATGGAACAATGGCACAAAAAAGCTGCTCATTCTTAACATCTTTCACATCAGTCAACCGTCGACTAGGCCACGTAAAGAATGTCGTAAATAACAGTTTAATAATCGCAGCAGATCTTTCCCGTTATGTCATTTTTCATAATTGGTCGCACTCAGAATCGAGAGGACGGTTTAAGCTCCGACCAGGGTCGCTCGTTTTCCCACAGTCTAATAGTGATAAATCAGTTCGTCTGCTGGAAGGACAGGACACTACATACGATGGTTGCCGCATAGCTGCTGAAGACTCAAAAGGCATTTTTGGCTGATAGCATGGAAACTGAAATCAGGACTACACCACTGACTTCATGAAAAGAAGAGCGTCAGGAATGGACTATGATGTGTAAGTAAACCGGCATTCCAAAGGTTACAACTCTTCTTAGCGTATTCACACTATCAGGGCTATTGCCTGAGTTAGTCTTCTTCATCGCATCTGCCAAAGCCTGCGTTCCTTCCACACAGCCTTACTCACCGTTTAGAACATCGTTCCTCCTTTTATTTGGCTTTGGCCCTCTACATCTCGCTTACCCGGTACTCTTAGTCCTTTATTCACAGTACCTACGTTGTCTTATTCTTCAGAAGAACAAAGAAGTACCAACGTGTTCATTGGATCTTCTTTCAGCACGACTGTACGAAACAAATTTTTTGTTGAGCTTTACGCGGCTTTATTTGCTTATGAAGGTGTAATAGATGCCGCCATTTTTTGGTACCACACATCTGCATATCCGCACAACTCAAAAGTCCCATGAGGGCACTATAAAGTAGCAAGTACATTCCATAATTAAATAAGCACATGGATAGACAAAAAGAAGCTATAAACAGGTGCAAGGTCTATTTAAAAATTACGAGCGGTGATCAGATTAAAGTATAACGCTGAAAGATCATAGTTGTTCTACGAATCAGAAACCACACAGTAAACTTTGAACGCCAATCGGGGAGCGACTGATCCAGAATGCCTGCAAAGATCAAAGTCAGTCGTCGTGTATATCATAGCATCATGTTACTTATTAGAAGAGCTACGACAGTTTTACCATAATCTTATCCAGGTTTAAGTATTACCTTGAACTTGTTTTGGAGAGTGATTGTTTGATGTTTATATGGGGTGCCAACCCTCATAAACAATTGCCCACGTGTCTCAAACCCTCATCCAGCTCAACGGGTTCAGACAAGTTGAGCGTTTTGAGATTTTGGTTGCAGAAACATTACTGAGGAGCACTGAATAACATCTTTTCAAAATACCTTAGCAGGATCATGCGCCAGCTCAAGGACAACACTTCAGCCTGAGGCATCGTAGAAACGACAGTTCCTTACCAAAGACAGATCTGTTTTTATCTTTATCATCTACCTACCTTGAACACTGGATCCTAGTCGATGTTAGGCATTTTTCGGATTCAATGTGAAAAGTTGTCTGGCTCTAATGAAGGATTTATGCCTAACAGTTTCTCGAGCAGGCGTTACCTTCCTCTGCTAATCTTTAGATCTAGACC